GCGGGTCTTTGCGCTTCCTGCGGTTCCCCGCGGCGTGGTGGCTTCGTGGGGGGTTGTCCGTCCTCAGTCCACCAAGACTCCATGGCCAACCGAGGCCCCGTGGCCCCTCTAGACCTGAAGGTCCACCAAGACTCCATGGCCAACCGAGGCCCCGTGGCCCCTCTAGACCCGAAGGTCCACCAAGGCCCGGTGTCCAACCGAGACTCCACAGCCCATCATCTAGAGACCAAGTCCCACCGAGACTTCGCGGCCAACTGGGCCACCCCGTCCCTTCTGTGTCCCCGTGTCCCCTCGGGCGCCCACCTGGGCTTGGTGCTGTTGACCTTGGGGTCCCTCCTGCTGCCGGGGACCTCGGGGGTGGCCCTGGAGTTCGGGGGCGCCCCGGGCCAATGGGCGCGTTACGGCCGTTGGGCGCCGGGGGCCGGTGGCCAACTGAGCTTCAGCTTGAAGACCAACATCTCCCGGGCTTTGCTGCTCTACCTGGACGACGGCGGCAACTGTGACTTCCTGGAGCTGCTGGTGGCCGAGGGGCGTCTCCGCCTCCGCTTCGCCATCGCCTGCGCCGACCCCGCCACCGTCCAACCGCCCCCCGCCGTCAACGACGGCCGCTGGCACATGGTCCTCCTCACCCGCAACGCCCGCGAGACCGCCCTGGCCGTGGACGGGGAGACGCGGGCGGCCACCGTCCGCTCCAAGCGGGCCGAGATGGCGGTGGCCAGCGACCTCTTCGTCGGGGGCATCCCCCCGGACGTCCGCCTCTCCGCCCTCACCCTCAGCACCGTCAAGTACGAGGCGCCCTTCCAAGGGTGGTTGGCCAACCTCAAGGTGGGGGAGGCCCCGGCCGCTCTCCTGGGGTCCCAGGGGGTGCGGGGCGAGGGGGAGGAGCGTTGCGCCCGTCACCCCCCCTGCGCCCACGGGGGGCGCTGCACCCTGCGCCGGGGGGAGCCCCGCTGCGACTGCGCCGGCACCGGCTACCGCGGGCCCTTCTGCGCCGAAGGTGAGTGGGGTGGGGTGGGGTGGGGACAGGGGGCGGGTTTGGGGGTGAAGGGGGTGGGGGACGCGACGTCACGGCGGGTCTTTGCGCTTCCTGCGGTTCCCCGCGGCGTGGTGGCTTCGTGGGGGGTTGTCCGTCCTCATGTCTCCTTGGGTTCTTGTGTTTCCACGTGTCTTGGTGGCCTCTCAACGTTGGGCGTCTTCATGGCGTTGCTCGTCCTCGTGTCTTTGGGTTCTTGTCATTTTGGTCTTCCATGTCTTCATGGCGTTGGGCGTCTTCATGACATTGCTCGTCCTCCTGGCATTGGGTTCTTGAGTTTCTCCATGTCTTCATGTCCTCGTGGCGTTGGGCATCTTCATGGCATTGCTCATCCTTGTGTCTCCTTGGGTTCTTGTGTTTCCACGTGTCTTGGTGGCCTCTCAACGTTGGGCGTCTTCATGGTGTTGCTCATTCTTGCGTCTCCTTGGGTTCTTGTGTTTCTCCATGTCTTCATGTCCTCATGGCGTTGGGCGTCTTCATGGTGTTGCTCGTCCTCGTGTCTTTAGGTTCTTGTGTTTCTCCTTGGCATTGGGCATTTTGGTCTTCCCATCCTCGTGGCGTTGGGCGTCTTCATGACATTGCGCATCCTCGTGTCTCTTTGGGTTCTTGAGTTTCCACATGTCTTTGTGGCCTCTCAATGTTGAGTGTCTTCATGGTGTTGCTCGTCCTCGTGTCTTTGGGTTCTTCTGTTTCTCCGTGTCTTCATGTCCTTGTGGCATTGGGCGTCTTCATGACATTGCACGTCCTCATGGCATTGGGTTCTTGAGTTTCTCCATGTCTTCGTGTCCTTGTGGTGTTGGGCATCTTCATGGCGTTGCCCGTCCTCGTGTCTCCTTGGGTTCTTGTGTTTCCACGTGTCTTGGTGGCCTCTCAACGTTGGGCGTCTTCATGGTGTTGCTCATTCTTGCGTCTCCTTGGGTTCTTGTGTTTCTCCATGTCTTCATGTCCTCATGGCGTTGGGCGTCTTCATGGTGTTGCTCGTCCTCGTGTCTTTAGGTTCTTGTGTTTCTCCTTGGCATTGGGCATTTTGGTCTTCCCATCCTCGTGGCGTTGGGCGTCTTCATGACATTGCGCATCCTCGTGTCTCTTTGGGTTCTTGAGTTTCCACATGTCTTTGTGGCCTCTCAATGTTGAGTGTCTTCATGGTGTTGCTCGTCCTCGTGTCTTTGGGTTCTTCTGTTTCTCCGTGTCTTCATGTCCTTGTGGCATTGGGCGTCTTCATGACATTGCACGTCCTCATGGCATTGGGTTCTTGAGTTTCTCCATGTCTTCGTGTCCTTGTGGTGTTGGGCATCTTCATGGCGTTGCCCGTCCTCGCGTCTCCTTGGGTTCTTGTGTTTCCACGTGTCTTGGTGGCCTCTCAACGTTGGGCGTCTTCATGGCGTTGCTCGTCCTCGCGTCTCCTTGGGTTATTGTGTTTCTCCATGTCTTCATGTCCTTGTGGTGTTGGGCATCTTCATGGCGTTGCTCGTCCTCGTGTCTTTGGGTTCTTGTGTTTCTCCATGGCATTGGGCATTTTGGTCTTCCATGTCTTCATGGCATTGGGTGTCTTCATGACATTGCACGTCCTCATGGCATTGGGTTCTTGAGTTTCTCTGTGTCTTAATGTCCTCGTGGCGTTGGGCGTCTTCATGACATTGCCCGTCCTCGTGTCTCCTTGGGTTCTTGTGTTTCCACGTGTCTTGGTGGCCTCTCAACGTTGGGCGTCTTCATGGTGTTGCTCGTCCTCCCGTCTTTGGGTTCTCGTGTTTCTCCATGTCTTCATGTCCTCGTGGTGTTGGGCGTCCTCATGACATTGCACGTCCTCGTGTCTTTGGGTTCTTGAGTTTCTCCGTGTCTTCATGTCCTTGTGGCGTTGGGCATCTTCATGGTGTTGGACACCCTTGTGGCATTGGGCGTCCTTGTGTCTTTGGGTTCTTGAGTTTCTCCGTGTCTCCGTGGCCTCTCACCATTGGGTGCCCTCATGGCATTGGGCATCTTCATGGTGTTCCACGTCCTCGTGTCTTTGGGTTCTTGTGTTTCTCCGTGTCTTTGTGGCCTCTCACCATTGGGCGTCTTCATGGTGTTGCTTCTCCATGTCTTCGTGTCTTCATGGCGTTGCACGTCCTCGTGTCTTTGCATCCTGGGTTTCTCCGTGGCTTCATGGTGTTGGGCGTCTTCATGACGTTGCACGTCCTCGTGTCTTTGAGTTCTTGAGTTTCTTCGTGTCTTCACGTCCTTGTGGCGTTGGGCGTCTTCACGGTGTTGCACGTCCTTGTGCTTCTCCATCCCTTGGTGTCCTCATGGTGCTGCACGTCCTCGTGTCCTGGTGTCCTTGCGCTTCTCCGTGTCTCCACATCTTCCCAGCCCCGCACACCTTCACATTTCTCCATATCCTCGTGTCTTCACAAGGCCTCGTGCGTCACCACGGCCACACGCTTGTGCTCCTCTGTGTCCCAGTGTCCTCCTGGTGTCGCACGTCGTCGTGTTCCTCCACCTCTTGGTGTCCCCACGGTGTTGCACGTCCCCATGTCTCAGTGTCCTCGTGTCCCTCCGCACCCTTTGCACGTCCTCGTGCGGCGTGGGGGGGGTGAGACGGGGGGGTTGGGTCCCCCCAGCCCCACACCAGGGTTCACCAGGGTTTACTTGTGCAATTGCACATCCCGATGCCTTTGCACGCCCTTACGCCATTGCGTGTCCCAGTGTTCCCACCCATCCCCGTGTCCCTGCACATCCTCGTGCAATTGCACGTCCCAGGGCCCCCGCCCATCCCTGTGCCCTTGCACACTAGTGTGACCTTGCACATCCCTGTGTGTCCTGGTGCCCTTGCCTGCCCTTGTGCTCTTAAACACCCTCGTGTCCTTGCGCATCCTCGTGTAATTGCACGTCCCTGTGCCCCTGCCCACGCACACCCCTGTGCCCTTGCACACCCTTGTGCAATCACAGGCCCCTGTGCCCCTGACCATCCCCCTACGCTTGCACGCCCTCGTGCAACCGCGTTTCCCAGTGGCCCTGCATGCCCCCATGCCCTTGCACGCCCTTGTACAATCACACGTCCCCGTGCCCCGCCTGCCCCTGCCCATCCCCACTCCTTTGCACGCCCTCACGCGCTTGTGTCTCCCCCTGCCCTTGCACGCCCCTGTGTCCTTGCACGTCCCCTCTGCCCACCCCCACCCCCTGCTGCCCTTGCACGCCCTCGTGCGAGGCCCGGGTGCCCCCAGGGGTGGGGGAAACGCTTGTGTGTGTGTGTGCCCCAGACGCCGGTTGGTCTTCCCATCCTCGTGGCGTTGGGCGTCTTCATGACATTGCGCATCCTCGTGTCTCTTTGGGTTCTTGAGTTTCCACATGTCTTTGTGGCCTCTCAATGTTGAGTGTCTTCATGGTGTTGCTCGTCCTCGTGTCTTTGGGTTCTTCTGTTTCTCCGTGTCTTCATGTCCTTGTGGCATTGGGCGTCTTCATGACATTGCACGTCCTCATGGCATTGGGTTCTTGAGTTTCTCCATGTCTTCGTGTCCTTGTGGTGTTGGGCATCTTCATGGCGTTGCCCGTCCTCGCGTCTCCTTGGGTTCTTGTGTTTCCACGTGTCTTGGTGGCCTCTCAACGTTGGGCGTCTTCATGGCGTTGCTCGTCCTCGCGTCTCCTTGGGTTATTGTGTTTCTCCATGTCTTCATGTCCTTGTGGTGTTGGGCATCTTCATGGCGTTGCTCGTCCTCGTGTCTTTGGGTTCTTGTCATTTTGGTCTTCCATGTCTTCATGGCGTTGGGCGTCTTCATGACATTGCTCGTCCTCCTGGCATTGGGTTCTTGAGTTTCTCCATGTCTTCATGTCCTCGTGGCGTTGGGCATCTTCATGGCATTGCTCATCCTTGTGTCTCCTTGGGTTCTTGTGTTTCCACGTGTCTTGGTGGCCTCTCAACGTTGGGCGTCTTCATGGTGTTGCTCGTCCTCCCGTCTTTGGGTTCTCGTGTTTCTCCATGTCTTCATGTCCTCGTGGCGTTAGGGGGGGGAGGGGTCAACTGGGGAAGGTTGGGAGCACTGGGGAGTCCAACTTGGGGGTGGTGGACCTTGGTTGGCTTCCCAACTGGGAGTGTTGGGTGCCTCCGTTGACTGGGGTTGATGGACACATTGATCATCTACCCAACTGGGGAGGGTTGGGAGCACTGGGGAGTCCAACTTGGGGGTGGTGGACCTTGGTTGGCTTCCCAACTGGGAGTGTTGGGTGCCTCCGTTGACTGGGGTTGATGGACACATTGATCATCTACCCAACTGGGGAGGGTTGGGAGCACTGGGGAGTCCAACTTGGGGGTGGTGGACCTTGGTTGGCTTCCCAACTGGGAGCATTGGGTGCTTCGATCAACCTTGGGGTGATGGACGTCTTGGTTATCTACCCAACTGGGAGCATTGGGTGCCTCGGTCAACTGGGGTCGATGGACACATTGATCATCTACCCAACTGGGGAGGGTTGGGAGCACTGGGGAGTCCAACTTGGGGGTGGTGGACCTTGGTTGGCTTCCCAACTGGGAGCATTGGGTGCCTCGGTCAACTGGGGTCGATGGACACATTGATCATCTACCCAACTGGGGAGGGTTGGGAGCACTGGGGAGTCCAACTTGGGGGTGGTGGACCTTGGTTGGCTTCCCAACTGGGAGCATTGGGTGCTTCGGTCAACTTTGGGTTGATGGACGACTTGGTCATCTACCCAACTGGGCACAACGGGAGCACTGGTCAACCCAACCAGTGTGGTGGAAAGTTGGTCATCTACCCAACTGGGAGCACTGGTCAGCCCAACTTGAGGGTGGTGGACCTTGGTTGGCTTCTCAACTGGGAGCACTGGGCGCCTCGGTCAACTGGGGTTGATGGACACATTGATCATCTACCCAACTGGGAGCACTGGGAAGTCCAACTTGGGGGTGGTGGACCTTGGTTGGCTTCCCAACTGGGAGCACTGGGCAGCCCAACCTGGGGGTGGTGGACCTTGGTCGGCTT